ATTGAAGAACTAGGTCTCATATATGTACAGCATCAGACGGATTTATCCAATCTCATAGTTATGTTGCAGAAGATTCGGGTACCCTAATAAAAATATTTTTCTGAAAATTTAACGAAATTTTGCTGAAATATATTTGAAAAGTTCTCTCAATTGACCCCATTAATTAATTTCATAAATATTTCAGCAATTTTTCATTAAAAAGTAACAGTTTTTAGTTTAATTCAGTAAATTTTATAATTATCTCAAAACTCTTTTATTACTTTTCAGCAGTATATTTTAACTTTCCTTATATTTCATAGTATTACATTAAATTTTCATACAAAAATTTATGATTTATTTTGAAATATATTTAGTAATTTTTCAAAAACTTTCATTTTACTTTTCATTGATTTCATAGTACTTTCAGCAAAATATTTCCATCAGGGTATGTATAAATAAATGTGTGCATAACATATACACAAAGAATTATGTATAAAAAAAATAAATATAAACAATTTTTTTGATTCTCATAAAATTTTCTTGTTTTTTATAACATTGTTTTCTTACGCTATACAGGAAGAAATTGATGTCAGAATGAAAATTTGTATTATGTTCATATAATTTTTTTAAAAATCCAAACATTTCTGTTGCATAAACATGTTTCTATATAAGCAGAGAGAAACCTGAGAGAGGCCATGGTGAAAAGAATACAAGGTGAGTCATTGCGCATAATGGGTAGGGGACATGAAATGTCAACCAATCATATTTGGCCCATTTTTACATAAGCATGCCGTCAGCCATATTGGATTGTCATGAAATGGCCCAAATACGATTGGCTGTCTACTGCGCATTCATAGGAATGACTCACCTTATATTCTTTCCACCATGAGAGAGGCCACGCTGCCGTTTTCCGTACGACGCTTTCTGTAGGCTGTACGCTAGTGACGCACGTCCATTTCCGGCTTAGCAACTAAATAGCCACGTTTATTTTCCATGCCGATAAAAAAGTCACGTCCATTTTCAGTGTCGATGAAAGAGCTGCATCCATTTTCGATGTCGGTAAAAGAATAACATCTACTTTCAATGCCGATAAAAAGTTGATTGTATTCGTGCTATAGCCACAATTTATTAAACAGAAATACATTCCGCATATAGATATGTGTGTTATATAATTTTACAATTCTGCAATAAAAGTTTGTTAAATATTACTTTCATATTAACATTATTTTAACATTATTTTATTATAACTTATTAATTATAATTTGATTATATACAGTTAGAAAAAATGACAAAAAGGAAAAAAAGTTGCAAAAAGCAGGTCTCGAATATGAAATCTTTAATATTCAAGCGATTCGCCTTACTCGATTAAAAACGCTTGATTCTTTGTTGTACGCTGCTGTTAATCAAACAGTCTAACGCACGGCAAGGACGCGTGACGTAAATAGCTTTGCTTGTGGATATAACATGGACATGAACCATC